TAGGTCAACTCTTTCTCCCCTTCATGGAATAGTTTAGGCCAGCTCTATCTCCCCTTCATGGAATAAATTAGGTCAACTCTTTTCCGCTGAAATTAAAGTTTCAGTGAGAAAATTAATTGTTGTTTTTTCCCCTTTCTTAATAGTTTGTTCGTTTGTAATAGAGCACAAAGCTACACTATGGGTTATCTGTGTTCTGCCCACCACGTGTATCGAAACCCGGATTCTAGCGTTGTCCTTTCTTAATAAGAAAACTGATTCAACGAAATAATCCGAAACCGTATTTTTAACATATCATCTATTATCGCACGTGCCAACCAGAGTTTCTAATGTAGGACTCCTACCCAGATGGTATGTACATTAGCTCACAAAACTGTTAAGAATAAGTAATGGTAACAGTCAAACCATTTTTATGAAAAATATAAACTCTGTAAAATGTTGATCTTTGTTTTAAATCGAAACGTCTTTGGAAAGTTGGTATCCACAGTGGAATCAATGGTTTAATACATAATAAACACTGTTGTTTTTAGCATCATTAGCTTGTCCATCTGATCTTGACCTATCATGACTGATAATTCCATGTGATATTTCGTAATGCGTGCAATTTTTCTCACTTACTGTGAGAGTTAAGAATGAAAAGATTGGGTGAGACTTGTTAGAACGTATGACTGGTGTTAACTAATTATTAACCCTAAAATTGTAGAGCGTGAAAATGAGATGTTTTAATGTTCTTGTATTAATTGTCGACCAACATGTATTTTACTCCGAAAGTTTAGCAATCTTTAAAAACAAAAACAACAACAAAAAATCTGGTACCTTTATTTATTATTGTATATCAAAGATACAATTCCATACCTCATTTTCATAGAAATATAGTTTCGTTCCGTCGAGAACACAAAATCTTCGCTTCCAGGAGCCGGGAAGGAACCAAGTACGTTGATTATACTTCCTCAAATATCCGGTTTTTCGTGGTTTAAGGAAGCTAGAAGGCGAAGGAATCTCTAGTTGTTGCTGTGTGGGAACGGAAGTTGGTTATCATTCCGAACTGTAAATAAGTACCTGAGAATTTACACTGTACACATAAAAGAGGCTACAAAGGTTACATACAGAGAAGTCGTACTTGAAACCATGTCATATTGTGATATAACAATAGACCTATGCGCTCCCCACGGTAGCTTAGCGGTATGTTTAAACGCTTATAACGTCAAAACATTCGGTGTTAGATCCCTGCAGTGCACCACAGGTAAACTATTTTGTAGTTTCGTATTTAAAGAAAACAAACAAAGAAACATCAACATAGAAGTACATAGAAGATCCTACATTAAATATATACTCATATACTAAATATGTTTGATGTAAACTTTATATTGCAAGGAAGGAAACATATTTAAATGACCAAAAAGAGGGATTAAAAATGAAATAAATTAACCAGCGGCAGTAACAAAATTTACACTGTCAAATATACAGTGGAAACAGGAAGTACAAGGTTTTTTACATTTGCTGCAAAGTATTTCAATTATATGAAATTTCAAGAGCCCTTTGAGCTGAAAATTAATAAAAAAGACAAAATAACGTTTTAAGCACAAATTGGTTTATTGTATAAAACAATAAATTCCATTTGATTAAAGACAAAAAAATATTAAACTATAATCAGAGCGCTTTCGAAAGGCGGTCCTTTCCTTTTCAGGGGCAAACTGGAAATGATCAAATAAAGTTTGAGGAAAAGAGGTGGCATGGTAGACCACCATGAGAACCCAGAAGTATTCTAATTAAATATTCATTATTAAAATTAATAAACATTAATTATATAAAATGTACAAGTAGCTCTAACACACCAACTATGTAATTATGAATGTATATTTAGTTTCTAGTGTTATCCAATAAAATATTTGTGTTTAAAGATGCTAAAATATAAATTATTTTATTTTATTCAGAGGGTTAATAACCTTATAATAAAATGATTTTGAATATGCAAATCAGTAAGTCACGTGACAAACAGCCGATATAAAGTCGCGGTGGAACGGCATGTATCAGAACTACGTTTTGAATTGTTTGGCGTTAGGTAGAGTGTGATGTCACAGAAAATTTATCGTTTTTGGGAAGGTTACGTAACAGCCCTATTTGAAGCAAAATATTAATTTACTTACATCACCAAGTTGTGCACAGATCGGGAATTTAGAATTTATAAGACAGGAATATCCCTTGTTCTTAATGGCATTGGAAAATAAAAGAAGATCAACTTAGGGCACTAGAACCATCCAGAAAGAGACCTGCAACAAGTCGTACCTCAACCGCGATAAGCAAAGTGTGGCATCCTGCAACACAGATCAGTGGCAAAAGTCGTTCACATGCCTCAGGCAAAAGTAAGCAACATAATCAAGAAGGATTTCCGTCGGGAAAAGCGACATAAGTCCCGTGTACACAAGTTGCTTCATGACATATTTGTTCAACAGCAGTATACGTCAAGCAGTTGAAAAATGAAATGAGTATTTATGATATTCCTTACGAAGACAAATCAATTAAGTTAGCAGAAGTAACTCCTATGAATTTCTGTGCAATCGGACTGTTGAAATTGGCGATGGGAAACTGTCATCCGCATTAGATGGTTTAATGAAAGCAATCAGGCAGGATGGTGTGTATTATACACAGTTTTATAACGGAGAATTTTGCAATGGAAAATACAGTGCAAGGCTATTGTCAAGATGCTTTGTTTGTTTGTAATTAAGCACAAAGCTACACAATGGGCTATCTGTGCTCTGCCCACCACGGGTATCGAAACCCGGATTCTAGCGTTGTAAATCCGCAGACATACGGCTGTGCCACTGGGGGGCTGTCAAGATGCAAGCTACAGCACGACCAGACGTGGCGACATGGACTGTAACGACGTGGCGAGTCTCTAAAACCGTCTCAAATAATATTATTTGGAATGAACACAAATAAGTTTATGATTTTACGTTTTTTGAGAGAGAGAGAAAGACACACACACACACACGTTAAATAAGTTATTTTAAATTTACGTACTTGACCAGGGTGTTGCACGGCAGTGGTAGTTTAGGCAGGCACCTTGAACTTCGTGAGCGGCGATTTCAAGCTCTTACAGTCAAAAATATCGCTAACAGCAAGGATTACTAATCAAACAATGTATACTAATCTTTATAAGTATGAACAGTATATTTAATTGTCTATAGTCGTTGACTTTTCTTTATGATCTATGTAAGTAACTTGCTTTGGTTATATGTTAATATTAATGCTTTCTTTTCACACAGTTTTATTTCCTTATAACTTACTAAGAACTGGACTTACTAAAAACACTGAAGTGCAATCCATTACAATAACTAACTCCAAAGTAGCCTCGGGAAATCCAAGTAAAAAATGTGCATATTGTTAAAACAAAACAACAAAGAATATTGTAATGTTTTGGTCAGGGATGAAGAGAATATTGTAACAGTTTGGTCAAAGATGAAGAAAATATTGTAACATTTTGGTCAGGAATGAAGAGAATATTGTAACATTTTGGTCAAGGATGAAGAAAATATTGTAACATTTTGGTCAAGGATGAAGAAATTATTGTAACATTTTGGTCAGGAATGAAGAGAATATTGTAATATTTTGGTCATAGATGAAGAAATTATTTTAACATTTTGGTCAAGGATGTAGAGAATATTGTAACATTTTGGTCAAGGATGAAGAGAATATTGTAACATTTTGGTCAAGGATGAAGAAAATATTGTAACATTTTGGTCAAGGATGAAGAAATTATTGTAACATTTTGGTCAAGGATGTAGAGAATATTGTAACATTTTGGTCAAGGATGAAGAAATTATTGTAACATTTTGGTCAAAAATGAAGAAATTATTTATCCTACAGATACGGACAAACTAAAGTGTGGCAAGAAAAACTATAACATGACTGACGAAAATTTCCGTTGGCATTTCTTTCAAGGAACATATTGAAACTTGAATATTAGAGGGTTGGCTTTCAATAAAAGGGCTTACATAAAAGGCATAAATTCTGCACGTGAAATTGACAGTAAAACTAAAAGACTAGTAGACATTCTAAATGAAACGTGAAAAACAGTACGTTGATAAAATTGCAAGAAATACGTTTCCACTTATAACATTCTCTCAAACAACAATCGAAAAAAAAAACTATATATATATATATATATATATATATATAT